GAATATCATCTATTCCCGTTGATTTTTTATTATTCAATCCTTTAATTATGCCTGCCACTTTCTCTTCAGTAGCTAGGGTTAAGAACATGCTATTACTATTATATTTTACTGTATTGACATTAACTTCATTGGTTTCGGATAATGAATTGCCTCTCAATACCTTTTGGGCAATACTGGTATAGTATTCATTAAAGACATTGGCTGTAGCTTTTGGATCTTGTATATTTACTCCATTCTCGCTTATTTCAATATTCGTTTTTTTTTATGTTTACCTAGTTCCTCCTTAACTAGGTCCCACATGGCTTTTGATTTATTCCCTGATGCTCTTATTCACATGTTATTAATTAATTTTTTTGCTTCACTGATAAACTTTTTTGTAATGATAATAGTATTCTTTAAATTCTTCTGGCATATTTCCTTCTTTCATTAGACTATTAAGAAACCTGAGTCTATTCCCCGATACCCTTATTCCTGAGGTAACCCATTTATTTTCCTTCTGTTTAATTTTTACCCTTTTTTTATGCATAGCTATATCGTAATAATACTGTAAAGTACCTAACAATTCATTGTATGCCTCGTTCGCTGAATTTTGCTTAAAAACAAGCTCCCAAGTCTCTTTTTCTGGTAGATAGTTTAGGTATTGTACATTCTCTTCCCTGTAAGATCTAGCTATTCTGAATTCTTCCTTTAGTCTAACTTGCCCCTTTTTATTCTTATACTGCATCTGTATTTGTAGTATCTGTGCTTTATAGTCAGAAAATCCTGTTTCAATCATCTTTATGATTGTATCCCTACAAGCCCTTGTTCAATATTATTTGATCTATTGCTGTTTGACCTCTAGGTCCTATTCTCGTTGGGACATCAACTATTGCTTGCAAGCCATATGAGTTTAACATTGTCTCTAGTTGTAGATTTACTCTTCTTCCTAGGAAATCTATGTCGAGATCACATACAGTAATGAAGCTCTTTCCTTTGTTTATTAAATTACTAATTATTGTGTCTATGGTTTTAACAAATATATTAATATTACTGTTTGGAGTTCTGCATACACAGGTAATAATTGTATTAAACTGGATAAGTCCAATTATACTAGCCTCAAAATGTTCTTCTTGATTCAAAGTTTTCAAACAAGTTATAAGGCTTTGCTTCTAGATATGTTTTGACATAGATGCATGAGCCTCCATGCTGCTTATTCTTCCCACAGAATTTCATATAAGGGAATAGTTTTCAAAATTATAATAACCTATATCTTGAAGAGAGCAGTCTTCTGGGCTGTGGCACCATGTAGATGTGGTGTTAACCGACATTTCGGAGGAATGTATCGCCTCCATCTTCAGGGTAGAAGGAAAAATAAGAAAATCTGCAAGCAAAGAGACATGAGAACCGGCACAAGCAGACTGGACTGATGTTGGAAATAAACTCAGCTATGTGAGAGCAGGGAAGGGGGGGGAGTCTACATGGGAAATCGGCAAAGAGGGAGAGGGGATGGGTCTGGGACAGAAGCAGGGTTTTGTATAGGATATTGTGTCGGGGGAGAGAAAGGCACGGTTAATGGGAGGGCATTAACCCTTAAGCTGGGGGGTTGCTATGTGAGTCGGTCATGGCCTGTGTAGCATTGTGGATCTGGCGTCATGTCCAGGGGGGCGGTTAGGGAACAGATGAGAGGCTTCCATGACTTGCTGAGACAAAACCCCCCTCTCTGTTCATATTTTCGGGATGGAGTTCAATCTCGATGGCTTCCCTAATGATGCGATCCATATAGCGGGTCTTGGTGGCAAGGATGGAGGTATTCTGAAGCTGAATGCGGTGTCCCAGATCGATACTGTGTTCAGCTACAGCTGACTTGTCCGGATGTTCGAGACGGATGTGCCGCTGATGCTCCTTCAACCTCATATCCATGGAGCGGCCCGTCTGCCCAATATAGACCTTGCCACACTCGCATGGGATACTGTATATACCTGGTGTCCTTAGTCCCAGGCTATCTTTGACTGGCTGGAGGAAACTGGATAATTTGTTTGGAGGCAGACCCACTGCTGTGATGTTGTGCCAGGACAGCACTCTGCTGATATGGTTGAATATAGTCCCGACACAGGGAAGGAAGGTGACTGAGTCCGGTTTATCTTCAGGCCGGCTGATGAGAACTCTATGGATCTGTCGGTTGTTGTATCCATTCTTCCTGAATACATCGCCCAGGAGCATCAACTCCGCATGTAGGCTGTCTTGATCACAAAGAGCTCTAGCCCTGTGCACCAATGTGGGAAGTGCAGCTTGCTTGTTGGAAGGGTGGGGGTGGGATGCAGCGTTAAGGTAGAGCTTTGTATGGGTGGATTTGCAGTACACTCTATGGCCCAGAGAATTGTCAGGTCTCCTGTAAATATCTATATCCAGGAAGGGGAGGTGGCCCTCAATTTCAGTCTCCATTGTGAACTGAATGCAATGGTGGATACTGTTTAGGTAGTTGAGGAAGTCCTTAAGCTTGTCGGGCCTGTGTGGCCAGATGACAAAGGTGTCATCCACATAGCAGAACCAGCAGCGGGGCTTGTGTGGAGCAAAGTCAAGTGCCCACTCCTCGAAGTCCTCCATATATAGGTTAGAGATGACCGGAGAAAGTGGTGAGCCTATCGCCACACCATCGGTTTGTTCATAGAACTGGCCACTGAAGTTGAAGCATGAGGTGGTCAGGACATGGCGGAAGAGTCTCAAGATGTCTTCTTCGAAATGTCATCCTAGCAGATCCATAGTATCTTTTATAGGCTCCTGGTGAAGATTGACACTACATCGAAACTGACCAGTATGTAGTGGGGATCGACATGGAGAGAGTCCAATGTGTGGACAAATTCCATGGAGTTATTTACGTGATGTGGACAGTTGTCACTGTATGTGCTCAGTAGCCCCCCCCCCTTTCCCTGCTCCCACATAGCTGAGTTTATTTCCAACATCAGTCCAGTCTGCTTGCACTGGTTCTCACTGTCTTTTCACTTGCGGAGTTTATTTTTCATTCTACCCTAAAGATGGAGGCAATACGTTCCTCCGAAATGTCGGTTAACACCACATTTACACGGTGCCACATCCCAGAAAACTGCTTTCTTCATAGTCACCGCCGTGGAAACCTCAAATCTTACAACCTATTTCTTGTACCTGTAACCAATGTTCGGTGATACATAGTACGTCCAACTCTAGTGCTTTATCTGTTAGTAGCACATCCATATTTAGCTTTTTAGTATTTAGACTTTGCATGTTTTGATGGAATATCTGAATGTTTGCATTGACTATATTATTATTATTATTATTATTATTATTATTATTATTATTATTCTTGAGGATACCAGCACTATGCTTATCTATAAAAAATCTTTACTTAGCTTTACTGGGGGCCTCCTTTGTCTGCTGACATACGAACTTCCTGCGGTTGATCTCTTTCAAATAGCACCACACAGTTAAGAGATGGGTCTGCTGAAGTTTTCTCTGTTTCGTTCCCCTGGGTTTCTGCAGCCTCCTCATGGATAGTATCTTCTTTGTATTCTAGTTGAGTAGCCTCTTCATGGACTGTGTCTTCTGTAACTTCCCCACATGGTGTAGAAGTTGTTGAATTTTCTGGACATGGTGTACATTCTTCTGGTGATGTACTTCCTCCTGGCTTATTTGTAGCAGCTGTTGTGTCTGGTTCTGCACTTAGTCCAACCTTGTCCTTTCTTGTAGAGGATGGTTTCCGAAGTCTTCTTGATAAAACGGGGTTGATTGCATCTTTATTCAACTCTGGGCTGGTTCTGTCTTCTTCATATACCTGGTTGTTATGCTTCTCTTTTGACTTTTCTGTTTTATCTTCTTTCCAGCTCATGCTGATTGATTCTTCTATTTTTTTATGTAGCATGTCCTTCATAGTAGACATTATCTTCTTGGCAACTGATTCTTTCCCTTTGTTGTTCATGTGTAGGCCATGTTTTGCAAATAGTTCTCTATTTAAATCTAGCTTTATTAAAGCTGTATTTTCGAAAGCTTTCACCAGTTTACCCAATTTTCTATTGAAGACTTCTCTCTCTTTGTTTACACAGAAATCTGTCTGTAGATCATATCTGTGTGGTACACACATTTGGATGATGTTTGTATGGTTATTTTTCTTGAAGAAGTCTTTCAACTGATTTAAGCCACCAGTGGTCTCATTTCTGCCTACTTGTACTCTTCTCCAAGTATAATTAGAATGATCAAGTCAAGGAGGATGAAATGGGCAGGTCATGTAGCACGAATGGGGGAGAAGCTGAATGCATATAGGGTATTGGAGGGAAAGCCAGATGGAAAGAGACCACTGGGAAGATCATGGCATAGGTGAATGGACAATATTAAAATGGATATGATTGATCTGGCTCAGAATAGGGACTGATGGAGGGCACTTGTGAACATGGTAATGAAAGTTAGGGTTCCATATGATGCTAGCTACACAATTGGTGGCTTTCTGAAGAAGAGCTTGACTGCATGAGTGAGTGAGGGAGTATTAACCACTAGCATAGAAACATAATCTTACAGACACAAGGTCAGTGGTTAAGCTTGTTCCAACAGATTAGTAAAAGTAAAGTTATAGTTGTCTCTGTGTTTAAGTATCACATCACGAAGAGTAGGGGAAGTGAAGTGGAAGTATAACTCCATAAATTCTTAACCCCAGCACTAGATTGAATTGAGTGTTCAACTTCATGCCCCAGCTGATATACTCCAAGGATAAGAGGCCGCAGTACCATTGGAGACGAGGCCTGATGGGGTCAAAATTTAGCCAAGCACCTCCTGAATACAAGTCCAGATCAGTACCTGTAGACCACCCTGTTTTTGTGCCCGTGTTTGTTGATCATCCAGCTCATAACTTTGTCACTATACTGAACAAGCTATCCTGGATTTAATCCTTTAAAAGTGGTTCAAGCTTTGTGAATTATAGTTCTCTCTGTGTCACTGTACACAAATATTTTATAGAAGTAAAGCTTTTCACTGCATTTACTTATTTTTATATGTTTTAGACATTGGAGCGAATCTGACGGATGCTATGTACAAAGGAATTTATCATGGGTCAAAGAAACACGAAAATGATTTAGAAGCTGTACTTGAAAGAGCATGGAAAATTGGAATGCAGAAAATAATCATCACAGGAGGAAGTCTGGAAGAAAGCAGGGAGGCACTTCAACTTGCAAATACCCATGGTTTGTTTTTCATAAAGATCGATACTTTGTCCAATGTTCCGACTGTTCCCATCCATTGATTCCCTCTTGATCACTTAATACAATTTCAGCTGGCCATGAAATTCTGTGATTTTATGTAACCCAAAGGTTCATCCAGAGTTCATGAAAGCATGCCCTCGTAATCCATTCACAGCCAGTTCTGTCCATTCTACAACTTCACACCCTTTTTCTGTAAGATTTTTTAATGTTCATGCAGGTCTTCCAAGTAATTTCATCTTTATCAAGCCATTATTCTTGGTTGAATTATTTGTATTATGTAAATTGAAAATTATGCATCTCTTTATTTTGTAATTTTCCCCAGTCTTTTATTATTTCATCTCTGTTAGGTCCATATAACTTCCACAACACTTTTTATCTGGACACCTTCAACCTGTGCTTTTTCCTCACATTCAGCCTGTCTGCAGGGCCCATCCAGTGCCCTACCCAATGTGTGCCTTGGGAATAAAGGGGGGAATGTGAACCTGGCCACTCCACTGAGGTACAGAATGTTGAGCTAAATCTTTATGTCACCATCTTACCTTCTGTTAAAGTTGTGATGGTAATGCGAATGTCCTACAAATGCATTTTTTTTATTTTATCACCTGTCACTCTGTATACTTGTACATGAGACTGTTTAACTTCCTTATGCATGTGTTGCTAGGAAGCACGCGGTAGCATAGTTGGTTGAGGGGCTATGCTACAAGCCGGAAGGTCGCAGGTTCAAGTCCCGATGAGGTCATTGGATTTTTTTTAAATTGATCTAATCCTTCCAGCCGCACTATGGCCTTGGGATCGACTCAGCCTCTAACAGAAAAGAGTACCAGGAATTACTTAAATAATTTTCCTTGGGAGTAAAGCGCAGCTGGCATGTAAGGCTGACAACCTTACCACCATCTTTGAGCAGATTGCCTAGATAATGTGGGACCCCTCAACGTGTCACAACCCTATGGGCCTTCACGGCCTGTTACAGGGATAGCTTTACTTACTTTTATGCATTTATTGCTAAGCAGTATGAAACAGCATCTAAGTGAAGGGCGGCCAGAATTATTCTTATGGTCCAGCATACTTTGATGGCTGGTGGAGTTCCACTTGCACGCACACATTCAAAATATTAAGTGCTCACTGAAGAAAAATTGAATGAAATCAGTGTTATGCTTGAACTTTCTCAGATACATTTTGCAGGAAACCAGAGGTTCAAGTTTCAGGTGTACTATATTTCCAAAGAAAATTTTCAGCATTCAAATGTTAACTTTTTACAGAGGCATCAGTAAGAAAAAATGTGAAGCTATCCCTGTAACAGGTCATGAAGGCCCATACGGCTGTGAGACATCAAGGCTTGCACATCTTCTAGACAGTTGGCTCACAGATGACGGTGAGGTTGTCAGCCTCATGCACTGGCTGCTGTTTACCCCTCAGGAAGATTCCTGTTGCTCATTTCTGTTAGAGGTTCAGTTGACCCCAGGGCCATAGTGTGACTGGAAGGATTAGGTAAATTGAAATATCCAGTGACATCACTGGGAATCGAACCTGCAACTTTGTGGCTTGTAGTATAATGCCTCAACCAACTATGCTACTGCATGCCCTCCAGAGGTACCAGTAGTGCATGAATACATACAGCATCTTCTGTAATCTAGGTAAATTTTATTTGTATTGCACTTAGGCTACAGATTTGTCAATTTAGCTGGTAGTCCGAATCCGTGTAGTTTGACTTGATGGTAGAAATGTCTGTCTGTTCAAGCCTAAGCAGTTCAGTATTTGTGTGAGGTTCTAAAATATTTCACTGTAGTTTAGAACAACTACACACAGCACAAAAGGATATAAAAAACATACCAACAAAACACACCAGAAACGTGCATACAAATAAGGTTAACAACGGCATGACAATTTAAAAATAACCTAAAATAAAATATTTTGAAGCATTTTACATAAAAATTGAAAGCAGAACAGCGTGACAACAGAGTATTAGGTACCTTCAGCCCAACATCTTATACACCTGATGATGGCCAGTTAGGCCGAAACATGTAGTGTTGTATCATGAGAAGATACGAAGATGATGAAGTTGCACAAAGACGGCAAGGAGTGAGAACATGAAGTTAGAATACACAGTGCCACAGGATGCTGTAGTGTAATATTTGAATTAGTTTTATATACTGGTAGATTATTGTGATTTGAGTGAATCAAATAGCAATATAGTAAATCAGAAATATTTACTTCAGAAAGTTTTTTTATCTTCCCATTTTCTATCTGAACTACCTCCGTGGAGCTGAGCCCTTTCTGAGACTATGCTAGTTATGCAGCTATTCAAGAATCTTCCAACATTTTATGGAAGCCAGAGTTCATTACTGTGTTCAGAGGAGCCCTCCACTGATCTCTATCCTGAGCCAGGCGAATCCAGTCTGTACCACGCTATCCTACGTAATAATATTAGGAAGATTAAATGAAGAGGACTGGGTGAGCTGGACATGTACCTATGTGGGGGGAAGAAGAAATGCATATAGGATTGTGGTTGAAAATCCTACATGTAGGAGACCTAGGTGCAGTATCAGAATATTAAGAGAAACAGGCTGTGAAAGTGGACTGCATGGTTTAGGACACAGACTTATGATAAGCTGTTGTGAACACAGCAGTGAACCATCATGTTTCATAAAAGCAAGGGATGTCTTGACCAATTGAGTAGCTGTCAACGTTTCAAGGAAGTTGTTAGTCAAGCCTATTCTCTGCTTCATTGAGAACAGCAAAGATTTACTGGGACTGAGTGTTGTGGGCCCCTTGTCATCATGCATGGCACGTCCTCAGGTTGCAAACAAAGGGGACACCCTCCAGGTAAGGAGGGTAGCTGCGAGTATATTAAATAAGCAGTCACGGACAGCCGCCAAGGGGTAGTCCTCCAGCTTGGGGGTTGGGCTAACAACCCCTCACCATAAAGAAATAAGCATGTTACAAAAATTTGCAAGCTACTTTGTCTCTGACTTTAAGGGAGGAACACAGACTGAGGGTGTTTGAGATCATTTGGACCGAAAAGAGATGAAGTGACAGGTTGGAGAAAACTGCATAATGAGGAGCTTCATAACTTGTACTCTTTTCCAAGTATAGTTAGAATTATCAAGTCAAGGATGAGATGGGCATGGCATGTAGCAATAATGGGGAGAGGAGGAATGCATATAGGATATTGGTGGGAAAGCTGGAAGAAAGGAGACCACTGGGAAGACCAAGATGCAGGTGGGTTGGCAATATTAAAATGGACCTTATGGGATGGTATGGATTAGATTGATTTGGCTGAGGATATGGACCGGTGGAGGGCTCTTGTGAACACGGTAATGAACCTTCAGGTTCCATAAAATGCTGGGAAGTTCTTGAGTGGCTGCACAGTTGGTGGCTTCTCAAGAAGGGCTCAGCTCCATGGACGAGTGAGTGAATGCTGTAAATATTCTGTGTTTTAGAAAAACTGTACACTACAGTGGGCTGTCATCCAACCAGATGTAGTGAGTTCGAGAAGTCTGGAGACCCAGCGTTGTACCTTCAGGCTCTCCAAGATCTCATACAGAGGGGCCAACATAAAGTGGTAGCACTTGGAGAATGTGGACTGGATTATGATCGGCTGCAGTTCTGCCCCAGAGAAACACAGATAAAGTATGAACATATTGCACCTACAGTCAGTTGGCTACATGGCATTTCATTATTTCTAAATGGGTTTTGAAGTTGTATATATTAACAGGAAAAATGAAGATTAATAAGTTTACACAATTATAATCACAAAAGCAAATGGGTATTGTTGAAATTTAACTTAATGTGATCAAAAATTGTTTTCTCTAACCAAGTTATTATTGGTAAATTTTAAAGGGTTCTAACATTGGTGTATCAGTTTTTTGGACTTCATCCATCATCCAGAAGAACACAACTGGATCTGTTTTCGTCCTCACATGAGGGAGTGAAAGATACCTACTCCATCAGAAAGAGCTAAACTCAATCACTAACCCTGGAGTCAGTGATGGGCCAACAGAATAGGTTTCTCCCACCCCCTTACCTGAGAATGAAAACAGATCCAGTTTCTGAAATATGTTCTTTAGAATACGGGATGATGGACAGAGTCCAAAAACCCGGTATTTCAGACAGCTACTTACAAGTATAGGTGCAAGTGTCATTAAGTGACTTTGTGTCCTTTATTTTAAAACAAGCGGCCGATCAAGGGACACTAATCTTCTAATCAATCTCAGATCTTGGGTCACCACTTGCCACATAAAAAGTGATCCTCCTCTACACAAAACTGATGGAACTTTGCAAAGCATGGCGTACTACAACAGAGACATTAGAAGAATCCTTGCTGGAAAATCAGAGGTGAATAACAGTGCACACAGACATTCAGTCTCTGCAGCAACACACAACAGAGGGCCAAACATATAGGTTTCACTGATAAGAACCTCATTTCTTTCAGAAGTATTCTATGTGATAACAGTTAACTGTTTGCTTTCATACTCAGGTATTTTGAATATCAGCTGACATTGTGTGAGGCTGTGAAAATACCCGTATTCCTGCACTGCCGCAATGCTGTCTCAGATCTGGTTAACATTCTGTCCAAAAATAGAGATCGACTGAATGGAGGGGTGGTGCATTCTTTTGATGGTTCTGAACAAGATATGAAATCCCTACTTGAATTAGGTTACTACATTGGCATCAATGGTTGGTAAGTACTGATGCAGGTGATTCGTATGACAGTAACAGAATGTCATCAGTATAATGGGCAAAATATGTAGTATGACAAGTGATGGCATATCGTCCTGCTAATCATGGTACCAATTTTTATCAAACTATTAGTCTCAGATATGACACATGACACAATTTTCCTATGGGCTTATACATAGAACATGGTGTGTGCTCCTCTCCCATCTACAGTATATTCTGCATTCCAGAATCTTGAACTTTCCAAATTTTAGCCACTGAAAAATGTCCGTCATATGACATCATCTTAACTTCATATAAGTTTTTTCATTGTGCACTGTATCACTTGAGTAGTGAACATGAATTCAAAAATGGTCCAGTGATGTGAGCAGTAGTCAGCCAGCTTAAGGAGCAAGGACTTCCAGTGTAGAGTGGCTATACTGTTTCTAAGCAAGAAAAAGAATTATTAGTATGCAGACTGTCAGGCAAATTGGCTGCATATAGGACCAGCTCATAATAGGGCATGCCTATGTATGGTTCTGCCATTGCTGGAACTAAGTTTTGTAGGCAGCCCTGCAGATGAAAATTTCTCTATGTTCGGGGTATCCTGTATGGCACTTCTGGGGACCAAATCAGTGCCAACAGACACGAAATCTTCATATAATTGAGAATGTAGAAGGCTTGCTGCCACATGACAAAGAGACACACAAAACTCTTCTGTTAACTTCTTGTAAATTTAATGTGCTTTGTTTCCTAGTCATTGTGGTGACAGAAGAGCTGTCGGCTATGGGCAGAACTTAAAACAAGACAAAAAATTACTGTTTCTCGACATATGGTGCTTGAAAATATTTTGACACTGATGTAAATTTATGTGCTGTGTGATATCTGAAGGGGAATTTTATGTTAGGCATGCAAGTTTAAGTTGCAGTACTGTCACATGTTTCAGTGATTATAGAAGGGTTTTGGAATGATGATGTGATTTATTGCACTCTTTGATACACAATGCGTGACCACACATAACTGTGGCATTCACGCACTCTGCCGTTCACTACACATCTGAAGTCTTCTCAGGCTGCTGTCTTCACCAGTTTTCTGGTAACAGCTTCCAATGGCAGATGTCCCCATGCCTGAGCTACCAGCTTCTAACAGCAACAGCTCACAAGGACTGAATGGCAGCAGTTCTCTAACTCACTCACTCACCAACCAACCAACCAACTTACTCCTCAGCTGGCGGCCATCTCACACCAACCTCCTACTCTTCTCACTGCACTCTATAGACTGAAGACTGCTCTAATGGCAGCTGGCCTTTGTTATGTAGCCTTGGGATGGACAGCACAGAGAACACTGCCCCAACAGCTCTTCCATTGTTGCATGCATCTGTTGCAGCCATTACCTAGCAGCGGCTGTTTTATGGCTGCTTATTTCATGGTCATTGCCTAGCAATGGGTCTATATGCCACATTGCTCCCTCCTTAAGGCTCTTTGTTCCGAATAGCCTACAGTCTCTCTTCCAAAGGCTGTGCTTGTGATATCTGTGATCAGCCTTGCCTTCCTTCCCTGTGGCTCAGTCCTCACAGTTATTACTCTCCAACTACTCCTGGTGCTTCCTCCTTGAAGCTGCTTGTTCCGAGTGACTCCCTGATAATGTGCAAGCTGGTCCATGTGTACCACCATCTACCGTGATCTTGGTTCCTCTGGATCCTGTATACTACATCATTTATTCAGGTTACCTTGTTCAGGCCCTCCCATGAGGACTGGAGTTTGAGTGATTTCCCCTTCGTGCGGATTGGGCGATAGAGTACACTCTGTTGCTCTTATGGTAGCCCACATGGTTAGCCAGTCTGTCATAATGAGTTTTCATCTGGTCACTGGCCAGCTTCAGGTGTTGGTAGATGGATGTCATGTACATGGTCCACTACATCTGCCACATGATTGATTGTGGGTTGTTCCTTGTCAGAACAGCAGGTTGCAGGGCAGTTGGAGTTCTCTCCTGAACACTAGGCTAGCTGGGATCAAGCTCGTAGTGTCGTGAGTGGATGCCCTGTAAGCAAGGAGGAGAGTGTGTAGTCTTGCATTCCATTCCCTCTTATGGCATGTGATGACATTTCTCAGGTGCTCCTTGACCGTTTTTATGTAGCATTCGACCATTCTGTCCAACTTCATTTGCAGGGGCGTGGTGCATGTCTTGCTCACTCACTTGACACCACTTGTCATGTGTTATGACTCACTACAGACAGGGTTTGGATTGATATATATATTATTGACCATTTACAGGTCATAACTACAAATAATTGTAACACTATCATTATTTCCACATTTTACGGTTCACTAGGGCATACAGTCTGGTGTTCTCAGTCTGTTACTAGATATTTCCTGGTAACAGCTCCAACAGTGGCTATTCCTCTCTTCACAGACTGCTGTACCAAACCGACTCTCAACTGACTATGCCCAAAACCTCACGGTTCTAGCATCTCAGCATGGGCGACACAGAAAATACAGTTTCTCTATTGTTGCATGTACAAGGTGGTTTAAATATGACCGGGACTGATTATTTTGTAAACAAGCCGCACTTCGCAGCAGCTGTGCGGCCTTGCAAGAGTGAAGCCACAACCTCCACCCTCCCTCCTGTTAGGGTTAGAACCTGTTCAGTGCTGTCTGGAAGTTGCTAGAGTGATGAGAACAGAAGCTACCACGGAGCGTGGAACAACGCATTGTGATCAAATTCCTCGTTGGAGAAAACGTCCCATCCGCTGAAATTCACCACAGATTCCAACAACAGCAGGGGGAAGAGTGTCTCTCACGGACCCGTGTGTTTGAGTGGTGTAAGTGCTTCAGAGAGGGCAGAGAGCGCATGGAGAATGAACCGCATGATCGTCGGCCGCAAACATCCGTCACCGAGCGAAACACTGATTGTGCAGACGTGCTTATTCGTGAGAATAGGCGCATCACTATCAAGGAACTTGGAGTAAGATCCGATCCAAGCGGAAGACAGGTGGAAAGTGGGTAGCCTTCCTTCAAGACAATGCACGCCCCCATACAGCCAAAACAATAATGGAAACCCTTCGGAAATTGAAATGGAACCTTCTGACACATCCGCTGTATAGTCCCGATTTGGCCCCAAGTGATTTCTACCTGTTTGGAAGGCTCAAATCAGACTTGCAAGGCATGTGGTTTGTGGACGATGCCGTCATCCAGACTGTTTGGGAGTGAATACGCCGCCAACCACAAGTCTTTTTGGGGGGGGGGCATCAGGATGCTTCCAGAAAGTTGGAAAAAAAGTGTTGACTCCAGAGGGGAGTATGTCGAAGACTGACATATGCAAGTAAGTGTTTGGCAATTATGTTTTTTTTTTTTTAAATCAGTCCCGGTCATATTTGAACCACCTAGTATATGTTGCGGGCATTACCTAGCAGCCATTTACAGAGTGACTGCTTAGCAATGGGTCTCTATGTCACATTATTTGTCCTATACTATATACTGTAGAAACTCGAGAATGACGAAAATTTTCTAAAAACATTTCACGTTTATAGCTAGCTATCTGGGTTCGCTTTTCCTTGCAGTTTTATGAAGATAGGTGGAGAAACTGGTCATGTCTAAGAGACATCATGTAAGAAATCTGAGTTTATGATGGCGATCTGAGATGTTTGTTCCACACGCGGGCACGAGAGAGAGGAAAATGTTAACGTCTCATAAGGTTCTAAAGATGTTGAGAATATAGAGCTCTACTTTCTAATCTCCTTGAAAATTACTTTTTTTAATCTTAGTGCCAAACTGTGATATGGATAATTATGGTAAGAACTTGCAGATTATGTATTGCAAGCAGTTTTGGATGTTACAGGTGTTGGGAGAAGAATGTTTACAAATTTTATGTTGTTATATCAAGATTATGTGTTCTTACAAAGGTCACAGCCCACAGTAGTGTGATGGTTAACAAAATGATTCTGTTACTGTATTTTCCAACAGCTCACTTAAAACTGCTGATAACCTTGAAGTTGTTGCAAAGATTCCAAATGACTGTCTAATTCTCGAGACAGACTGCCCTTGGTGTGAAGTGCGTCCCACACATGCTGGTGCCAAATTAATTAAAACAACATTTCCAACTGTCAAGAAAGAAAAGTGGCAAGCAGGAAGCATGGTAAAGGGGAGGAATGAACCAGCAAATATAGTGTAAGTATCATGTGATGATTCTGCTGACAACATTACAAGTTTCCAGAAGATTAAATACTGTTATGTTTGTTACTTGCAGACATATCTTGGAGATAGTGGCAGGTGTGAAAGAAGAAGATATGGAAGAATTATGCAATACAGTATACCAAAATACAACAGAATTATTTTTCTCCAGATGAATGTCGCTAAGGTATTACATATATAGATAAATACAGTAAAACTTGGTTATAGCAACATCGGTTTCTGCGACACCTTGTCTATTGTGTCAAATATTCAATGGTACGAACTAATTCCCCATAAAGCAACTGTTTTTATACCTTGCTTAGTACGACATGCACAAATGCATCAACCTCATATGTAACGTCATTTTCATTCCTGAATTTCTCTGATATGGACATTGAACGTAATTTAGAAAGTGTGTATTGGGCAAGTAACAGGAAACAGATGAAGATAACTGATTACTGTACTCGTATCTAGGTACAGTAAGGCACAACAATTGATGTAATCTACTGTAATTTGGTGAGTAGGCCTACCTTTAATATACAGTATTAGTGCGGTGTGTATTGTCAGTGAAAAGCGCTGTAATATGTCTTTGATATTACACATTTGGGCAGTTCCACGTTAATGTTACGTTAGTCTGTACTTAACTACGTATTTCACTAAAAAATGCAACATTTTAACTCGGTTTTGGTACATTTTTACGTGACTAACATAAGGCTACTGTGGAAGTGCCCATTTCGGTTACAACGACATTCGTTTATAACGACACTATTTTTAGGTCCCTTTGATGACGTTATAACCAAGTTCTACTGTACTTCATGACAGTTATGTGTGATATTATAGTAGTAGTACCACAAATAATGCACACTGGCACATTTTTCACCCATTTGCAGATTTTGTCCGTTGCTGTAGAATCTGGAGTTACTTCTGCATTCAGGCATGTGCTTCATTGCGGCTAAATGGTACCATAAAAGAAGCTTCCCCATGCATGGCATGACAGTGTAACGAGGCCTTCCACTGGATCCACTTACTGTTGTGCGGCCAGAATATTTCTGTGGTACCACTATAACAAATTTGATTCTTTTTCTTTTGTAACTGACCATTATAGTGCTGTTATTGGCATGCCTTTTGAAGTCAATACCAGACAGCATCCTGCAAAACCTCACCTGAGCTACCATTACTCTTTATGACAGTTAAATCCGAGACTTTATTCTGAGTTGTTTAGGATTTTCACCTTATCCTCTTACCATCGTGACACTAGATATTTAAGTGGTGAGCCTCCACGTTTGCACTACTTTCATCTCTACTAGCCCTGATGTCATTACCCTGTGCTTCTAAAAAGCAAGAAGATTGTGTGGCCACCTTCATGCTGTGGCTTGTGTGTGAATACATATATGAGATGCGCCATATGGAGGCACTGATGAGACAAGTTTAGTGGGAACCAGTCTCCTAGAAATCATAGAATTTTTAACAGTGTATTTACTGGGTTATAAGACAGATTTTTTGCTGATACCTGGGCATGTGAGGAAACACACCACCTTACAATCGCATACTTAGAAAATACCATATTTGAGTCAACATTTTTATGTTATCAGTTGTACTTTGCAGGTAATGCTTATACCATCTCAGCATTTTCAGTTCAAGGTCAAGGAACTGCACTTGGCATTAGAAATTAATGCTGCCACTGTCTGGAGTTTGGAGCTTAATGTACATACATATTATGTGAAAGTTGGCCCAGGAAAGAATAGGATGAATGGAACAAACCATTTTCTATTCCTGGGTTTAGGAGAACAAAGCAATGAGTCAGTGATACAATAGAAATAGTACCCAGTGGGTATGTAGTTCACAAAAAACATAACAAGGCTATGACATACACAGCAAGCCCTTATATTTGTACAAATATAACCACTTATCCTGGCGTTATCTGCAGTGCAGTGGATTACAGGGCTAAGACCTAATAATAAAGTAACTGAATAAAAATACCCCCCCCAAAAAAAAACTCCGTGGCCTGTAGTTCACAAGCAAACTATACCGACCGAGTGACCGCCGCTTGTCGGCGAATTTAGTGCCAACTTTAGTGGATAGAGGGTGTTGCGTGGTCAGCGCAATGGATCCCCATGGGTGATAATCTCGGTTTTCTAGACCGGAGCTGTTATTTCCTTAAAATAGATCCTCAGTTATCCTCACAAGGCTGAGTGGACCCTGTTCCAGACCCACTACTTCTCAGAAAATCTGGTGGCGCCGGGAATCGAACCTGAGACCTTTGGATCTGTAGCCAGGAACTCTGACCACTAGACCACAGAGGCAGTCGACAATACTAAATAAACAATCATGAGAATGCAAACCAGGGGGCCTCACTGAAGGTAAACTGAAGAAGAGCACAGCCATGACGGGGATTTAGAATACAAGCCACACACGCATCTCACTGCCCCAAGAGGTCCATCTGGCCACCACAAAGGCTTTGCCACTGTTGGAGTGGTAGTCAGTTTCAAGCAGTTCAACCAACAGGCAAAGGTGAGAGGGTAGAGAGGAACACAGTTGGCAAGAAGGGGGAAGGGAAGCACAGGGTGTACAGGAAGGCAGCTGTAGGCAGTCTCAAAGAATAGTATCCACTGAGCCAGGCAAGACACAGCTCATGTGTGATCATATTAAAAGGAGAGGTTCTACAATTACACATAAATGTGTGTTGCAGCTATAATGTGAACCTTAAATTAATGGCCATGATATGCAAAAGGAACTAATAACTGTGCTGTGACACGCATTCAGCATTACCAAAGAAAATGTCAGATCCTGTAGGAAATGGAAAGAAATCAAGCATGCCAGTTCCAGACAAGACATACAACATGAGGTGCCAAAATCCCTATCTCTCAAGTCACAGTACACATGAAAGCCTTGAATGTGGCATCATCATCTGTGATACTGTGACATATCATCAAGAGAAGTGTTGGAGTAGATCAAGTGTATGCAGCAAAATAGCATGTCTATAGGTTAACAACATTATCTCAGAAACTTCTTAGACTCTGCTAATAAATTCGTTTCATATCCCCAGCATGTACCATACTCTGTGCCAGAAACACACAACTACCTTCAAGGTCTAGTGGGAAATGCAGATGAAACACTTATGTTTACTGATATGCCTCTTAACTCCACAATTGATGTTAAAGGTTGAACCCTGTGTTGGTAAAACTTCTACCTATAAGAGATTCTGGACAACAGTAATGCCAACTGAAGCTTTGCTTTTTCTAAAAAGGAAGAAGCCACACAAGACAAACACCTCTGGTGGCATTATATATAAATGCAGTGAGGAAGGTTCAATGACTTAAGTATTTATGATTCAGTGACTAAAGGAAGTCTGAATTGATATCTAGAAGCTATCATACATAAGGAAGTCTGAACTGATAACTAGAAGCTATCATACATATTTGAAGGGGTGGATGTCTGTTCAAGATTCTTTTCAGGAACATGCAACAAAAAATATGAAATATTAAACTTCTCAACTGATCACACCTATAGGCTTGTAGCCGTACCACTGACACCGCCATCTTTATTTGTAATCAGTATTTCTTTTTAGAGTAATTATACACAAGAGGTAGCAAGGAACACTCAAGGGTGACTTAGCCCGATTCTTGGTTTCAAGAATAGGGCCTGCTTCACTGCTACAAAGACCAGACAGGAAGCACCCTGCAGAGTTTTCCTGGAAATTCAGTTAGAAAGTTGAACGGTGGGATCCTTTGGTAAAGTTACACTTGACAAGTTTTGAACCCCATAAGTCAAGTGGGAAGGCCAGCAACCCAAGCTACTGGTATAATTTTTCAGGCAGCTGTCTAAAACGACATTAGGACTTTAAGGTCCAAAGTCCCAAATTAAAGTTATGTGATTGGAGCAGTGAGAATTATGGTTAACTCCCTAAATTCGAATTGTTCCAATCGGCAGAAATTAGGGTAGTAACTTGGAGGCGGAGCTGAAGCCGCGAAGATTTCTTGCTTCGAAGCAGGGTCAGTCTGCGAGAGGAGTCTCTGAACAACCCTCCAAGTGTACAGCCGAAATTATGTTTAAGTGTTTGCAGGAACAATCTCTGGATAACTCTTCTAAATTTAACGTGAAATTTTCTTTGTGCTAAAAATATAAGTGAAAGTGCAATTCTAGGGTTTGTGCTAAAAGTAACAGCCGCTAACTAACTAGCCAGGGATCCGGTCGCCAACGTTTGAGAGATTTCCATGTGTTTTAAGGAAGTGCAACAAGTGCTGATACATGTACGTGTGTAGCAAGATTGGCTAATTAAACAGTGTGTTAGTGCCTACCTAAAACACTCTTCTCTTTCCTGCTGACACGAGGCCCGTATTCACCCTGAGACCGAATCTCATCGCTCCAGTGAGAACGCGGTACCTAGCACCTGTAGTTTCCAGTTCATCCCCCCTTTTCCCCGAAATGTAAGCCGACAGTAAGCTTACTGGCGCCCAGCACTCCGATAACCCATACCCCGCAAACTATTATCCACCAGAACAACAAAATGGGAAACAGAACTGGATAGGAAGGACGCAGCAGCAACCTGCCAACTCGAAGTAACCACAGGTGAGAGGGAACGGCTAGAGGAGCAGATGCAACCAGCAACCAAAGGGCTCTTCAGAGGACTGCCGGAGAAGGACGGTAAGAAGGAGTGGCACCCAACGCAAAGGGCCTTAACGCACTAGACGGTTAGAGGCTTCACCTCCCAGCTTCAGGTTATGGATGTAATAGTTAACAAACCATAAAGACTGACTGTGGCATTGCTCTCTGGAAACTGCATATGAACTCCAGTGGGGAAAACAAAATGTGCCTGAAGTAATGCTTGAGGAATGGACACAGACTGCATGGAAAGGCATCTTGATGAATCAGCTGTCCTTAGATTCAAGAAGTGCTGTAAATTAAACAGTATAGATGAACAGAAGATGACATTCTATGTGTGGATGGACAACATAGCCAGGTAATGAACAAAAATGGTGATGGTGAAACATGGACTGGACTGTGCACAGAACGATCTTTTATCTGTGTTCTTTAATTAATGCACCTTATTTTATATGAGGCTCGTCCACAAAGTAAGTTTCCCTGGGGCCGTTTACAGAAACAAAACATAATTTCATGGAAATATTTATTGCAACAGATACAGCAAGTGTTCAGCTATTTTTCAACATAATCGCCACCGGAACTGAGACATTTGTCATACTGTGGGACCAACTTTTGAATACCTGTGTCACAGAAGTCTGCCGCCTGGGATTGGAACCACTGTGTGACAACCATCTTCACCTCTCTTGTCATTCTCAAAACGCTGACGCTCACCGGACAGGAATTTCTTGAGGTGTAGGAAAAGATGGAAATCACTGGGAGCGAGGTCCGGGCTGTAGGGTGGATGATTAAACACCTCCCAGCTGAACTCCTGCAGGAGACTTGCTGTCCATCGAGCCGTGTGCGGCCTAGCGTTATCGTGCAGGAAGACAATACCGGCACTAAGCATCCTGCGCCGCTTGTTCTGAATGGCCCGTCGCAATTTCTGCAGTGTTTCACAGTAACGCTCAGCATTCACCATCTCACCTCTGGTCAGGAAGTCGATGTGGAGAACGCCCTGTCTGTCCCAGAATACCGTGCACATCACTTTCCGCGCCAACGTCTGCTTGAATTTTGTCTTACAGGGAGATCCACTGTGACGCCAATGCATTGACTGCTGCTTGGTTTCTGGGGTAATGTGTGCAATCCACGTTTTATCACCTGTGATGATCCGGTCCAGAAACTCATCGCCGTCATCATGGTACCGCTGCAGAAAGGTCAATGCTGACTCCATGCGCTTTGTTTGTGTTCTGGTGTCAGTTGCTTTGGCATCCACCTGGCGCACAATTTCCTGAACAACAGGTGCTCTGTGACAGTTTCGTGCAACAAGGTGCGGGAAATCTGCGGGACATGACTGCTGAGTTCCGCAACTGTGACGCGACGATTCTCCATAATGTGTTCCCGCACAAGCTCCACCAGGTCGTCTGTAATGATGGATGGCTGCCCACTGCGCTTCTCATCATGCACACTTTGTCGACCTGCTGAAAATTGTCTGCACCAGCGACGCACCACCTGCTTGCTCATGACTTTAGGCCCACAGACCTGGCACAGGCGACGATGAATTTTGATCAGTGCTATGCTCTGTGCATTCAAAAACTTCATCACTGACTGCATTTCCAGTCGGCGGGAGCTGTAATAGGAGCCTCCTTCTTTAACAGCTGCAATGATGCTACTGTGGGAACGTGGGAAATTCCGTTAGTGCATGTGCCATGCTACATCATTGCTCTATCACGTACGCACAGTTGCCTCGCGCAATATAAGGTTTGCTAGCTGTGGGACAAGTGGGAAACTTACTCTGTGGACATGTTACGTATTATCTTTCTGTGTCATAGTTTTGATGAAACATGTTAGCACTGACACGTATGTTTGAAAAGTGATATTTAAATTCAGAATGTAGACTTTTCCTGAAATTCAAACCTTGCCAACTTTAGTATTGATATTTTTTTTTGGAAGATTCCATATTTTAAGAGGGAGCAATCTCATATGGAAGGTGGTACTTAAGACCAACTTCTGCCTCCCTAAAATTTTGGATATTGCAAAGTATAGGTTCCTATATATTTAAAGGTTTCTTGCTGTGACTAGAGTACACAGAAACAATTACTGTGTCCTTGGAAGAACCTTGACACCTCTACTGTCTGATTACAAAACTACTGTTATGGAAAGAATAATATAAATAAAAGGCTTTATTTCTCACAAAAAAGAAACTGCATATTACATCACCTCACATTAAATGGAATACAGTGGGTATTGGCATTCATGTATTTTTTTCTGCCTTCACACAAACAATAATACACCTAAATGACAAAAACCATTTGTATAACTACAACATTTACACATATATGTATGTATATAATTACATTAACCTTGTTTAGCTTCCAATATACAGTACAACCTACAAGTTCCCTACACAGTATTACTTTAAAATCATGCATATATCTATAAAATGAAAATTATATTCACCTGAATGCATTGTGTTCTTATGATACTTTAAATCTGAGAAATAAGACTGGGGCAATATTGTCTAGAAGTTTTAATAACCAAAGAGCCCCACCTCACTCTAAGTCACTGAATCTTTGATAATGTTTGCACTTTTTGACGAACCCAATCGTATGTCCATGCAGCGTAGACCTGTGTGGTGTTCAGTGCTTCCATAGAGTACTTCTGAAGATTCTCTGGAGACAAGTTACCACTGCAAAATAAAACGAACTTACAACCATTTATTTCTTCAGTAGGTAACACTGAGATTTCAATAGTTGCTGTCGGTGGTGCTGCCACCACCACATGCTTAGGCACTTGGAGGAATTCCATTCTCCTTCTAGAAGTCCAATATGTTTTCGCAATATTATTCTCATTTTGAAGATGGTCTTTATTCATTATTGAGTATTTCTCACTGCATAAAACACAATGGCATGGATAAATCAACAGCCTGTGTATATGAGCTCCTAAACAATCGTGGCCAGTGATTAAGCAGAAAGTCACACAGCAGCTCCTCTTGGAAAATCACAATTATAATTCTCTTTTGTCATATGATTTATGCTGTCTTTGAATGACATAATATTCTAATAAGTCAGCTTTAATGCTCCTATTTTCTCAATTTGGCAGAGTGAATGTCTGTTTATATGCAGATGTTAACTGACCTTTGTTCCCTTCTTTGGTATGTAATCTGCTATTTAACCTTTAATGTACGGCCAGAATTTAAATGACCCTAATTAATTATCATTGCAAACTTTCTAAAAAAAATGCATATTTTCCGTTCAATGCAACATAGAAATATGAACTAAAAAGAACCTGAAAGACAATAACATTTTCTACATATACATAAAAGAGCAAATTTTACAAATGAAAATTAACTGTGATTAATTTGTCATGAAATGCAAAATATAATCTTTATTATATATGTTATGAAATTCCAAAGGACTTACCCATTGTTTTTTCTTCAATCTTGAATCATGGTGATATTGTAAATATAATCACACTATATACAATAATATTTTGTTCAGACTGTACACAAGTTTGAACTGTGTCACTTCTCGAAGCAGTCCACCACACATAGCACAATGTCACACTTTTTACAGTAGTAGAACGTGCTTCTGCGCTTCTTATTTTGAGAACAAATACGTCTTTGTTTTCCTTTGGTTGGCCAGTGTTGTGAAAGTTTCACCTCCAGTCAACTCAGTCGGGCCCCAGATGAACTTGGCCTCCCCCAAAAAATGCCACTGACCTTGATATTCACCTCATGCGCTCATGCGATTGAAGAATCAAATCCCACACCAATATTTCGTGGAACTTTTTGTGTGTCATTTTTCCACATGACTTGTGTAATAGATATGCACGTAGAATAGTTATATCTAAAAGGTGGAAAAACAATTTCTTTGTCCACTTCCATTTCCTCCTAGCAATGCCATAACTGTTTACCATCCTGCCAGATTTATCAACAGAGCCCATCGTAGTCTTCAATTACATGGGGTTTGACAGCATGGCCAGATTCATCTCTGAAGTTGCCTTCCAATGAAGGAGGGTGCAAATTCATCAGAACATACACATCACGCTCGTCTTTCCAACGAACAACACTTAAATGCCCCTTGACTCTTGTAACAATATCCCCTTTTCTCAATTTCATTGACTTTGGCCGAATTTCTTGTGGCATTCCACGCCTATCATTGTGAACGGTGCCACACGAATTTATTTTCCTGTCTAAAAGATCGTCAAATAAAGCAGGAGAACTGAAATAATTGTCCATGTAAATTTTGTGTCCCAAGCCTTCTACTCTTCGAATTAGCTGGAGAACAATGCCATGTGTTGATGTAATCTCTTCTGTCGCAAGTTGCCTTTGTTTGCCCAAATAAACTGTCATGTCATAAGTATACCCAAAAAAATCACAAAGCTTGTAAATTTTTATACCAAATCTTTTGAATTTCTTTGGAATATACTGACAAAAAATCACTCTTCCTTTGAACAACACTATGACTTCATCAACAGCAAAAGTTCTGCTGGATTGTAAAGTTCACAAAATTTGTTGTTGGGATTGTCAAAAATTTTTCTAATTTTCCAGAGCCTATCACACTCTGGGTCATCTCGATTTGGAGCTTCATTATTTTCAAAATGTATGAATCTCAAAATATGGAAGAAACAGTCTCGTACCATGGTGTTACGGTAGAATGGAGTGTAGTATTGCTCATCTCTTGACCAATAATCTTTGAGGGTGTCCCATTGATCGTGGCCCATTTGAATAATTATTGCCAAAAAGTTATATATCTCTTCAATTGTAATGTCAGGCGGTTGAACAGAAGGGCCTGGAGCATCTTGGCATGCCATAAATTGGTGGAAATATCTATTGGTTTCTTGTAACAAGATTTGGAATATTTGTTGGAAAAACAGAATGAAAATGGAAAAAGGAGAGGACTGTGCATTTATATTGGGAGCAGCTGATCTGTTGATTCCACTCGGAGGACAAGTGAAGTCTACTACCTTTGGCGAATCCCTGGGTCTTCTATCACGAAACCTAATTTCCATTTCCTCTGCCTCGTCTGATGATGATGACGACAAAGACAACATATTTGCTCGAGGGTCAATGAACTCATTGATATCTTCTAACTCTTCATCAGATTCCTCTTCCATCAATATTTCCTCCAGTTCTTCTGCATCGAGAAATTTGGAATATCGGCCATGTTTCTGAGGTTCCATCTTGGGGGAGGGGGGTTTCCAGCAAAATCGAATAAATTATGTTGATTGACAAAGACTTGAAAAATAGTGATGCAAAGTAACTGTAATAGTATGGTACAACAGGCCAGAAGTGGCAGCAGTACAAGGGACTTAGTCCCACCCCACTAGCAATAAAAAATAATAACTAATAGTAGTCGTAAAGGTGCCAGTCTGACAGTGATACCGAAAGTCACAGTAACGAAGATGCCTTTTACTCACAAAGTAATACTGGCTCAGTGGGTTTATACCTCTTCCGAGACACAAAATAATATAAAAAGAAATATGACAGTCTGAGGTGATAAAGAAATATTACACAATCCAACACTGACTTCCTATCTGATAATATGTCACTTCCTAGAAAGCTCTGGAAGCGCTGATCTGCAAGCACCAACGAATATTTCCTTTTCGGTTCTCAGAACAAAGCTGGGCTATATTTGGCTGACCAGGTCATAAACAGTCATATATAAATGTGTAAATATTTTCGAAACCAGGACCGAGATAAACGATTTCATTGTTCAGAACTAACTTATGAACCTCTGACATGACCTTGCGTGGGTCTGTTTTGGTTTCAAACCCAAGATCAAACTGTCAGCACTCCCAAAGATTGCACGTGTCCTGGGTCATATATATATATATAAGACATTCGGCCAACATGGGTTGCTGCTTGATGCATATATGTATGACACTCGTCCCTTAAAGGTTAATTACCCGCAACACCATAATGGGATGGCATCCACTGAAATTTTATATCTTTTTGAATGCCTTTCCACAATTTAATGGATGAATGGATTTCTGTAACCCTTTTACTTGAAAGTGCATCAAATTTTGCTACTGACTGTATTGTTGAAATTCAGTCACTGAATATAGCCCTATGGAAGGACTCAATTCTGACAAAGAGCTGTATTAATGCAGTGTTCATTACCTCTATCTCACCATCGAAGTGAGTGGCATGTTGTCCACGAGGCATATAAAATCTAAACATACTGCAGTAAATTTCTGCTCCACAGTTTCCATTCTTGTCTGTGAGAGAACCATGATATAAACGGCAAAATCCTTAATTTGAGCTAAAGGCAATATAAAGTGTCACACTTATATAAAATTAGAAGAGAATATTTAGGATATGCCCCTGTAATTACCCAGTATTTGTCAGTGATAAGTTCATTTACACTTACACAAAAACATTGGTTTTGAGCCATTCAATTCCCATGTCCGAGTAACGAAGAAAAAACTGCCACAGAATTAAAGCATTTTGCTTTATCAATTCCCAGGCTTCAGTGGAATGTACCTTCACTCTATCCAATAATGATGGAGCATGGAAGTCAATCTGGAAGAAAGCAAGTAATTACTATAGAGATGCAGAAACAAGGGAATGTGTGTAGCAAAAGAACCCAAAAGTTCAGTTTTGCCAATACTAATACTTCCAACTCCTCAGAAAGCTGAGTGTAGCTCACAACCTCACAACACATCACTCAAAGACTGATTTTAATGTTATCCTCCCTTCTCCATCTCAGTGTTTGAAGTGGCCACCTTCCATAAGGTGTCTATATATAAGACTACATGTTCAGTCCACTGCTTACATTTAGGAACCATAACAGGTCAGATGATCAGTATTAATCAACAAGGTTCACGGCCTGAGCGCACTGTGGGTGCAAAAAAAATTAAGGAAACTGAAAATAAATTCATGAATATTCATAGAAAAGGAAAATATAAATATTCAAGATTAAATATACAGGGATAAATTCAGTAAGGCATTATATGTGCAGTGGTTAGGAAAAAAAAAATTGTATTTGAGCATCCTGCTGCATTGATGTATCACTCACTCATTCATTTCTGTCTTTAATGCAACTTCAAACTGTTCACAATCTTTCTTTAATTTAAAATGGCATTAAAATCACATCAATTGCTACATGCTTTGCCCTACTTGGCCATCTTCGGGCACTTGTTCACTTTTTGAAACTGTTGCATCGCACCAGGTTATAAGTCAATGAATTTCCATGCTCCTGCATATTGTGACGTGACAGCGCAATGCTTGGTAAACACCCTGTCCCCCTCCTCTGCGGTGACATAACAGGGGACACCGCGGTTGCTATGCAGCAATAAACAACTCTCGGCAGCGTTGCCCAGCAACACGGCGTCACGCAACAGGGAAGCCCATGCAACAACTGTTGCTAGGCAACCGGTAAACATGGCGTCAGGCAACAGCGGCACCTATTATGTAACTGTTTTCTGTGTTGTCCATGCCGAGGCTAAATAAGGAGCAGCGAACACGATTCAGTAGTGAGTGATTAGCCAGTTACTAGGGAGAGAGTGACCAGTTAATTGCAGTCTAGTATTTGTGATACTGCTGATGGCAGTAATTGAGAGATTGTAAATTGTGTAATTGTGAGAGTAGAATCTGCAATAAATTCTCTATATCAAATAAGGCATGAAGTTATTTGTCGCGCGTTATACACCCAACATGTGACAATATTATTAGCGCTAAAATGTGTTTGAGACTGGAAAATACAAGGGACAGACCCAACTAGTGAGAAGGGGGCACAAACATGGACGCTGCAAGAGGAAAATAATGTGGGAGAGATTGTTATTCTCAAACAAACATTTTAGTGGCAAACAAAGTGGAAATACATTGACTTATGATCTAGTGCAGTGTGCTGTGAACAAATGCGTGGAGGTGGCCATGCAGGGCCGAAACATGTATCAACTGATGTCATTTGAAATGAAACAGGGCCTGTGAACAGTTTGAAGTTGCATTAAAGACAGAGGTGAATGAGTTAGGAAAAAAAGTTTAAGTGACTTACCCATTCAATAACTGTAGGTGCCTTTTCCTCGACATATGCATGAATATTTCCATACATGTTGTGCAACTGGTGACCTACTATCAAGCAAACATCCCATGCCAATTCCATATATGGTTTGGCATGGTCACCAACTGTCTTGTAATAATGTGGAATATTTTCTTCAGCCCAACTGAAAAGAGGTAAATTTATATCCATTATTTATACTCTCACCCTAATTCTGGGGATTAATATTTGAGCGTTAATTGTTTTTCCTTAAATACTTAAGTCTACATATCAGACTCTGTTGCATTTATTTCCCAACCCAAAGTATAATTTTACACTTACCGATAAGATTTATTAGAATAAAATTTTGTTTTTGCCCATGCATGTTCACCATACTGGAGAGCGCCAATGTCATTCAGAAAGCGGCCTGTACTTGATGCTGAAATAAACAGAATTATAAATTACTGACATTTACTACCTTCAGAGAGTTCATTCAAGAAGGTAACATTCCACATAGTGCTAAAGATTTTTCAATAAAATACTTCAGAAAATTCTCATTGTTACATCACTTACTTAACAATTTTAAACCACTTTTAAATTTATTGTATTTAAAATATTTGGACAAAGAAGCCCTTGAATACTCATCCAGTCTGTCTGAAAATTTGTGTTTCTACAATGAACCGGTTATTCCAAAAAGCCACAAGCCACCAATCTTAAAGTTCACTACTTTTTTCAGCTACTATACAGCCTTATTATATAATGATACTCATACACCATGGAGTTCTGAGCAGAACTCAGAGTCTACCTTGCTACTGCACAGAAATTCCTACAAATCCCATGTGTTAACCTTTCAATGTTGCAATGTTTCAATGTTCACTGTAGCAGTATAGAGAATTTAGAAGTCCAGCATGCCACTAGATAGACAGATTTAAAATCTCTACTTCAGTGCACCTATGCTTTTTGTTAAAACTTTCATATTTAATTTCATTTTAGGACCCTGCATTGTAACAAAAAGCACTATGAAGATTCACAAACACAGTATTATTTTTTGTATAGATCCACTAATTTTCATTTACTGGCTGTCAAGAAGTGACTAGATAGCTAACCTATCAGTTGAGGTCACACCACATAAACATGGAATTCTCATACGCTTCAAAAACAGAATCATCTTGTAGCATAAATCAGGCATCTTTCAAATCATTCTTTATATCGGTATGCCTCCTCATGAGCCATCAAGAGGGCATTCAAGATAATTCTACTTGGGAGGGAAAAAGTTTGTTTTGTCCAGTTTTACATTTTTCAGGTTCCAACTGCAGCCATGGTACGGTTCACTCAACGATGCAGTTATTAACTCATTACTGTATAGCATCCCATGATACGAATAAGGAATACTGAACTGAGAAGGTTGTGGGAGGAAGCAGCAATGGCCTAATTTGAGATACCATTTGCCTGCAAGGACTGAGAACAACCATGAAGTCTGTCGATCACGATAGCTGGTCTCTGGGCAGAATTCAGCTGTAGCCATCACATATTTCCCTTATTGTTACTATCAACACAGTAACTGTATCTTATCCAAATACTGACCTGGTGCGGGGGGGGTTATATATATTCTGACCAACTTTGCTTTCCAAAAAGGTCTTCCCATGGCTCCACTCACCTTACAATGTCTTTTTAAATTTCAAGGGCTTTGAATCAACGTACCTAGCTCTGAAACAAGTTCAAATGATGAACATATACAAATTTATTACAAGTGTTTTCACTTTTGAGTTCAGCTTCACACTCAGAAGATCATGGGTTCAAAACTCAGCCCAGAAACCTGTTATTCTGAGGATTACACAATTTTTCTTGGTCTCTACAGGCAAATTCCTTAAATCAGGCCATAAACATTTCCTTCTATACCCTTTTAAATTCATTGATCATTATCCTATGATGCTTCAAAATTTCAGTAAATATCATCACCACTAACCCTTCCACTGCATATTATTTTCTCACCGCTTTCATACAATATTACAACTCTAAGGTAAAAATATTGAGTGGGGAAAACTTAACAAAACTATATTTTTACAGCTCAGTGAATGACGCTGAATGATGCAGCAAAAGGAGATTATTTTTTGATGTGGACTAAGACAAATACCACACTACACGCTAATGGATGCTTGTTTGACTTTAGCCAAATACAGCAACAAGTATTATTAATAGCATGACCAAATCATGAAGATTGAGCCAGAACATGTAGCATGCACAAGAGGAGGAGAAATGCATATACGATTTTAGTCAGAAAACATGACAGGAAGAAACCAATTTGCATATAGATAGTTATGAGGATTAAAAATGGGTCTTAAAAACTGAATGTGAGATTTCAACTGTCACAGCCCAGCAGCAGGTTGATATGAGTAATGTAATAAACTTTCACATTCCATAAAAAGTGTGAAATATTTTGATCAATATAGCTAATCAAAAAGGGTGCTCTTCTATGAAGTGAATAATTATACTAAATAACAGTTTCCTGCTAGGAAGGGAAAATTAATGAATATAAAAGAAGAATATCAAATCTACCGCCACTTCAAGGACAACAAATTGATAGATGAGCAAAAACAGGCAAAAGAAATCAATACTCAGAACAGCATATTTGACCTCATTACCACTTGTACACACACACCCCCCACCACGTCACGATACACATAGCTTTAAATAACATCGACGTGGCCTCTCCACTGCACTACACAATACACTACGCGTCGGACACAACCGACCACAAGGTAAGGCCAGCATCAAATATTATTTAATATTCAACGTTAAATATATTATAATAGATAAAACCTAACGTAATACAATATCTTTGCAGCCCACACAACCTCGTGCTGACGCCTCCCCCATTGGGACTATCCACTAAGAGGAACCTGAATATTTTACTTGGACGGTTTTAACTTTAATTTTAACATTAACGACCCGCTTTGTGGGTGATATTTTAAATGCAAATGGGATACCCGCACTCGGGGTACTGGATGTTGTTGTGTTTTACGCTCCGATACGTGTAACATCTTCCACAAAAAACTGTATATTGTGATTGTTGAGCAGTGCAAGTGTTTCCATGTTTTTGTTGTGGTTGCCTCTGATGATGGCTCTTTGTGAGCCGAAACATGTAAGGCAAATGTAAGAAAATGGTGACAAGAATATATATTGTTACACTCGACGGAGGTTCTATTGATAATTGGTAACAGTTTCCTTGTTCATATTTAGTATGTCAGCAAACACTAGTATAATCAACACCATGACACATTCCAGAATGATCACTATCATTCTTTTATGTGACAGAAGCCAATGACTGGTAAGTGCCTAAACCTTATGCCATTTTGTCTTCAATCAATATACGTAAATAAAAAACTTACACTGGAATGATCCATGCTTCCTGATGTCATATGCCAGAAGTCCAACTATCACCAATAGCAAGAGAAAATTTCCAGTTTTCCACGGGAATGTTCTTGATACAGTCATTTTCTTTAGAAGTTCCTACAACAAAAATATGAATTTCCAGAATAATTAACATTACTTACTCATGGACCCGAGCCCTTCTGGAGGAGCCACCAATTCTGTAACTACTCAAGAATATCCCAGCATTTTATGGAACCCAAAGGTTCATCACAGCACAATGATTCTCTGTGGCCATGGTAACAATTTATTGTCAAACCAATAAATTGGCCTTAATTTGGAGTTAAGTTTATAACTAAGTACATTCAATATTACATAAAGCAGCACACTATAACTCTCACAGAAATGAAAATGTAAGTTTTCCAACATTATATAACGATATATCAATGACCTACCTTTACCTATAAAATATCTGAATGTAAATGTAAACCCCCAAACATTATTTGCAGATGATACTAGCATAATCATCAGTAATCAAAACAATACTGTACTAGGAAATAACTTGAAGTCAGTCTTCACTAGTGTGATGAAATGGTTTAAGGCAAATTTACTCCCATTAAATCTGGACAAAACCTATTGTATGGGATTCCACTCTAAAGATATTAATTCCAAAATACAAATTATATATAACAACAAAATTATTGCCAGTACTACTGAATTAAAGTTTCTTGGGCTAGTACTTCACAATACTCTGTCTTGGAAGAGTCACACCGATATGTTGGCTTCCAAATTAAACAAAGCATGTTATATTGCAAGAGTAATCAGACCTTTCTTATCTTTACATTCCCTAAAGATAATCTATCATGCTTACTTTCACTCAGTTACACGTATAACATATGGATTAATTTTCTGGGGAACTTCTTCCCACAGGGCGAATATTTTCAAACTCCAAAAAAAATGGTTAGAATACTAATGGAAGCAAGACCCAGGGATTCTTGCAGACAATTTTTTAAAATTATAAATATACTACCTCTAGCATCTCAGTCATATTCTCCTTGGCTCTGTTTATGGTTACCAATAAATCACTGTTTTGACAAAATTCTGAAATTCATAATTTTAATACCAGGAATAATTCTAATTTTTTTCAAGTAATGACTCACTTGACAATGTTTCATAAAAGTCCTGCCTATGCAGGCGTTAAGATGTATAACCATCTTCCACCTGACATTAAGGACTTGGCATGTGATATTAAAAGCTTTAAAAAAGTATTTGCATGAGCATTCTTTTTATACTGTGGATGAATTTTTATGCATAAAACTAGATAAGTATTTCTGACGGTAATACTAACATCATAGTATCAGTATTTATAGTGTTCTATTATTTTTATTTTTTTTTTGACAAAATCTTTTAATGATTGCATGTCTTATTTATTTATCATTATTAATTAATATTGTACTGTCTTGTATATTTTACTTTTCTATATTCAATGGTTGTACCAATATCGATCAACAGAAAAATTAAAATAGAACTGAATTTCCTTTAATTCAATTGATTAGACAGTGCTCAACTGAGGCAGAGGCATGCTGTTTGCTGTGATTATTTACTGTGATCGTAAAGGGAATAGCACAAGCTGTCCCCCTGCACTGAGCACTGACTTTTTACTTAAACAAAACTTCATTAATAATTTCTGGATAAAGGCAACAGATATTTACTGATTTTGTAACAACTGCTGGGCTGGCCCCCTTCAGCCTTCAAGCATGCCTTGCAGCATGTATACACAAGTTTTGCAACACATTCAGAAGTTTTGAGACAAGTAATACATCACACATTTACAGCACACCACATCACCTATACATCATGCTAGGCACGAAGATTTTCTTCATTCTGTATGTTCTGTCTGCTGACATGACCAAGGTAATGAAAGTAAATAAGAAACCTACCAACACCATAAACAGACTATACACTATGTTCAGTCTGTAATCAATATGACAGCGATTCATTCTTGAAACAAACAAACCTACAAACCTACTGAGAGAGAGAGAGAGAGAGTGGGCACATGTCTAAGTTCTGCTTGCTCATAGATATTGATGTTGAGGTCTGAATTTGTTACTCTTACGAGGAGGTATCAAATTAACAGTGAGTTTCTATGGTCAAATTCTTCCTAAGAAAGAAACCCCATAAAAAGTGCATTCATAGGTTGGTCATCTGTATAAACAACCAAGAACAAGTTCCTAAAAAACAGTGTGTATTGATGTTTGTCAGAAGTAGTGATAATGGGGTACCGTTTGTGACAAATTTCTCTGTATGAAATAAGATATATGCATGAGCTTTAACAACCAGACTATGCAACACAAATATACTTTTGCAACTCACTGCTGCAAAATCTGCATGAAGAAGTCATGGGTCTACAGGTTCTACTAATAACCAATGAGGCCTTACCACAGTGACTATGTCAATATGGAGTGAAGGAAATCCACATGCCATTCAACAAGTGTCACTACACTGTCCACAGAAGCTGTGTGGTGTGCTCTACGTGTGCAATGAATTCTTTGCTTCAGAACTTCAGAATGTGTTATAGAAGCTTCATTATGTGCTACAAGACATGCCTGAAGGCAGAAGGGGATTGTTTCTAGCAGTTTTTATAAAACAGAGTAAATATATATAACCTTTTTTACAACAGCAACCAATTATGTTCCATTGGAGTATTCAGTGTAACAGGCTTGGAAACCACCTGTGACCCCTCTACAGTTATGCACTGAAATCAGAGCCACACCATTCCAAGCAGCACATTTTGATTTCAACTGATTACCCTATACATTAATTTTCAATAATACAAGAATAAAAATCATTCCTTGAACATGAAATTTATTTACTAGTAAAATGGAAGAAAACAGTGGCTTTTCTGTACACAGTGATGATGAGCAAGAAATTTCTTGGCCATCCAAAGCACAGGAAAAAAAAGTACTATGGAGTTATGGTGTGAAAAACTGCAACAGTCCTTAATTCTGTACATTTAAATTTTCTAATTGTAAGATTTTAACAATTTGTTTACCTCATCTGCCTTTACATCAGGTAAAACCTTCATCAACTTAGTGTTCAGGACACTAGCTGACACTCCAGAGTTAGAGTGAGCTTCAATCTTGGGCATCTTCTCTGCTGATTTACTTATTGGTGATGAAAATTGTGACCTCTGCAACCTAATTCTTTTATGGGAAATTTTGAAACAGAGATCTTCAGCTGCCAAAGTATTCTGAAAGGGCTCATCTGTATAATTACTTCCAGTTTTAGATGAAGACTGGATATATTCTGCTAAAGAAATCATGTTACTTGGCTTCACACATGAACGTGCCTCATTTTGTTCTAAAAATTCAGTTAGCAGACTCTTGAGTACCACGTTATCACTTCTTAATAAACTTATGTCAGCAGAAATTTGCTCCAGGCCATTTAAAAGTTCCTTCATTTGGAGTAACATGGAATCACCATTTTCTTTTAAAGTATTCAGTTTGTCTATTACCAAACATTCTAAATTATTCTCAACATGTTTATCTTGAGCAGGCAATAGACTGGACTCTGCTTCTTTAACTTTATGATGACTTGCAACAGGTGTTACACACACATCGTTATTTCCTCGTCTGGTACAATTATGACATTTGTAAACAGAATGTCCATCGGCAATAAAGAATTCACGTTCACTGGCATCAATTTTTGCACAGCTCAAATGATAATGTGCCCCGCAAGGTCCGATACATTCAACAGACTGATTCTCATCATAAATGCGATGACAAGCACCACATACACCAGCAGGCATTCTAACAGGACAAAAACAAAAATCAGGTATTGTATATCAAACAATAAATCGATGTTTCAGAATTCAAACAAACTGAGAAAGTAAATTATGCAGTAAACGTAGGAACACCTACCAGAGCAATCATTCCTAAAACTAACAGAAGAGATCTACTGTGTACAAATATTTTAGTTATGAAATGACAGAATGAAGGATTTCCTATGTCTATGAATATTTTTTGCTGAAATCATCACGGTATTTATAAAATACTGAGTCCTTTCCTTTATCAGTATCTCCGATATTACTGCTACATTATGAAAAGAAAGACCAAATTAACAATGTCCAATTTTCACTCCCATGGAAACCTCAAATCTCATCAACAGCCTCTTCAATTTATCTCAATAGTAATGCTCACAACACTGAAGAAAATGGCACATATAAACAATATTAACCTTCCCTCTTTTGCACCTCGAAGATTTGCACTGCCGTATGAGTAGTAAAAAAAGTGTATAGTTTAATATGAAAAGAACAGTGATCCGGAATGAACAGTAATCATGGAAAGAAGTTGTACAAGAACAGCTTATGACCAACTGAGAAAGGCCTGCAATTAAAAACTACAATTACAGACTGTTATGTACGTATAATTAATGGCTTTCTGGACATTATCCATTCTAATGTTTTTATTTTAAAACGTTTCAGAAATTGGACTGTCTCTGTCCTCAGTTAAACTTCTACTCACTTTGGCTCAATTGGTAGGTCTAGTCCCTACCTCTGAACACCAGAACCAACACAAGACAGGATATATAAACAAAACACAACGCAAACCACCAGGAGTTAAGACAAATATTAAACAATTCCACAAACGAGGCCTTGCACCTACGGCCACGCATAGTTTGACAGCTGGAGTCCATAAAATCAGAGTACTCTCAAAATAGAAGCCAATACTAATAGACAAATTCTAAAAGAAGAAAATATTATAAAATCAATGACAGGACATGGTCTATCAACCTATTAAATCAGAGATAAGACAAAAACAGATACATATATATGAGGGGGGACCCAAAAATAACCGGAACCGACCTGTTGCACGGGCATGCTTTGTAGTTACGAGTTGTACTGCTAGGTGGTGTTAGCTGGGGGTTTCCCGCGATTGTTAGTGAGCTGGTGTCAGTCTGAGTTAAGTGGTTTGTCTGTGGTGCTCTGTTATGTGCGTTCCTGTTTCAACCCTTTGGCGATTAGCGTGTTTTCTTTGACATCATCCACATCATGGAATCGCTTTCCATTCAGACTTCTCTTCATCCGTGGAAACAAAAAAAAAGTCCAACGGAGCCAGGTCGGGTGAGTAAGGTGGATGAGG